TGTGAAACACTTGCCTGATGCAGCTGTAATGAGCAGGAGAAATATGTCCATCTTTGTTGACTCCCTGTTTGTTCTAAGGTGTGACTGCAGTAGTTCGGCTGTACATACATACAACAGCTTACAGTACTTCAGTGACACATGGCTTCATGGAAACAGTTATTTACATATTAGGTAAATAATGCAAATAATTTTTCTGGAATTTTCCACAGTGTTTGACTTCTACTATAGTGAATGATCATTAGTCAAGGCAGTGACATATAACATTATATAGCCTATTTCTAAAGTTGTTTTTCCATACTTGAAAATGTTTGGCATGATTATTGACAAATCCAAAGATACAGGAAAATATAAGAAGATCCAGGGTAAGAGGAGGAAATCTATAGGGTCAAACTGGTTGCTCTGTGTTTGTGTCCAACCAGTAAGAATAAAGAAGAGGAAGTATTCAGATAATTTACTTCCTTTAATGTAAATGAGCTAGAAACTGACTGTAACTCTGTGCTGAGAAAGAGGGATGTAATTCTGTTTGAAACAGAAGTAGTGTCATGATCGAAAGACTGAAATATTGATTGGAACTTGGGCTGTGACTTATTCAATTATTACTCAATTCTGAACATTATCAATTAATCTGCCAGGTATTTTCTTGAATAATCTATTGATTGTTTGGTCCAGTGATTCTGAAATTGTGAATAAGGGTTAGGATTACCATGGTGGGGCACAGATCCACTGCAGATACGGTGTTAAAAATATGGGGAGTGAAACATATTTGAATTAATGTGATTTAAGTTGAGAACATAAGTAACTAAGAGTTTTCTGATGCTATTGTGCTGACCTTCATTTCACAAAAAGTCAACATGAAGCTTATTTTTTTTAATCAGTTTTGATTTTCCTATCATCGTTAATGATTACTAAAAATTGTGGGGTGGTGGGATGTGAACTTTTTCTGAAGGAGGGCAATCCAGAAAAAGTTTGAGAACCACTGCTTTAGTTGATAAAATGTCAGAAAATAAAATGAAATCTAATCTAGAGAGAGGGGATGACACACAGCAAAGGGCCACAGAGCTGATTCGATACCTGGGCCACTGCTGCAAGGGCTCAGCCTTGGCACAGTGGGCGGTAACTCTACCAGATGAGCTATCCGGGTGCATCTATAATGGGCTGTAATCTTTTATCTTTGTTCAAAAACATTAATACAAACATTGAGTTGTACCCTGATCTATTTCCAAAGGTTTTGATTAAACAATCATTAATTGGGGAAACCTATCCTTCAAACCTGTTAAAAAGTATGACGTCATCTGCATATAAAGATATGAGATGTTCATATGGCCATATAAAGGCTCAATGGTTTTTTCCTTGAACCTCTCATAAAATTCTATAGTGAAGCAATCCATCTCTGTGCTTTCCCACTCTGCATACTCTGAATGTCCTCTGATGATTCCTCTGTTGTTAGACGGACAAACAGTCCAATTCCTGCTTTCTACTTTCTAGAAACACATTGCAAGTTTAAAATTGCAGTTGATCTCAGAATGAATCTTGACTCTCCAAGTCATCTGAGCATTCTGATGCATACAGAAATGTACTGATGGGTCTGAGGTCAGGCCCTGTGCAGGTGTTATTTGTCCTGCCCAACTGTTACTTTCTTACAGAACCAGAGCTTTAGATTTTGTGGAATCTAGTGGTGAAGTTACAGATTGCAACAACTTGAACACTGCTCTTCTCTGCATGGAAATCTGGGGAAGAAGTGTGCATAAGAATCTATGGTGGCCACGAAAACTTGTGAAAAATGCAAAAGGACAAACCAGAGTTTGGTTTGTCTGTTCTGGGCTACTGTAGAAACATTGCGCTTCAACATGGTGGACTCCAAGGAAGGCAACCTCGCGCGATCCTCCTAAATGTTACACACTGGACCTTTAGTTCAACAATTTATTGCAAGCTGGAAGAAGTTGAGAAGCTCACCCAGCTAATTTGTCATGACCTTTGTTTGAGATCTGATAAATAGCACTCTTAAGCACTTTGGTAGCCTGTTACTTTTATTTCATAGATATTTATTTATATATCTTTTTTCTTGTATATGTCTGATTCTGTAAGAAAAGCCTTAAAATAATATATATGTATATATGATACAACTGTCCATGTGATCTATAGTGAGAGTGTCGGAGGTCAAAGACAAATCAAGTAAAGGTGGTATTGATGGTATGAGTGCATGAGTTCACAGTTTGAGGGCATAAATTGCTGAAGCAATATATATAGGGTTGTCATGAATCATTATTTTCATCATCATCATCATTTAATCGGCCAATTATTTTATCATAGACAATTTCCTCCAGTTCATTTTCTATTTTAGGTATATTCAGCACACATTAATAATTACAAGAATGATTTGTTATTTGACCCCTTGACAACTCATGGCCTCCTTCAGTGTTTGAGTGTGTGCGGTGTGTTTATAAATCATGGATGCTCACAGAAGCTCCTGAGGAGCTGAAACATGGAACTTACTGAGAGTCTCATCGGCTCACTGTCATCCTCTTCCTCCTCCTCCTCCTCCTCCTGTGTCTCTCCACGTCTGACTCTCTCCTCACTGTCTGATTCCAGTGCAGTCTCCATCTTCTATTTAAATGTGCTGAGTTCAATTTTTGCATACACACAGAAAAGCCAGTCAGAAACAGATGTTATCACTTTTGCAGATCTGGACGTAGTGAACCTGACTAGCAGCTCATGATGGAACATTACTGTCCTGACACTGACAGAGAATTTGCATGTGTTTCTAAAACTACTCCAGGATGTTGCACTCATTTAAAGACAGTCTACACTGGGTATAAGCATATAAAAAATCATTTAATTGTTGAGCAATATATTAATCTTTTTTATTCTACACTGGAAGATCATTTTCACTGTCACTGTTTACCTGCCTCATCCATGTGCTCATATTACTACTTTACATATACAGATGGAGGAGGACCTCCCTCTGCATATTTATATTTATATTGTTTATTTATCTTGTTTTTTTATTAGTCCTGCTGGTCACTGAGAGTTACCAAACACCTATTTTAAAATTACATGGTACAGTAACTTTTGTAAGATTGTGATATACTCATAGAAACAGCCATCTCAGTATTTTTCCACTGACCTGCCCCTTCTCCTCATTAGCCACTCTACTCACCTGTGCACACAAGCTGCTCCTGATCACCAATTAAGCCAGTATAAATTCTACTCCTCACGAGTTACTTGTTGCCAGATTGTCCCTTTGTATTCATGCAAGACCTTCCAGTATTATTCGGATGGATCTCCTGGTTTTGACCCTGCCTGCTTCTGACCATCCCGCTTTGTCTCTTCCCCAAATATCACCTTAGCCTTCTGTCCTCGACCACAAACTTGGTTTCTCCATTCTTGGTTTCAGTTTGCCTCTCTCCAGGGTGGTTTGGTGTTTCCCCCACGACGACTACCAAGTGTGAGTTTGACCATCTCCTCTCCTGTGAGTTTCTGTGGTTCAGAGACTCTGAGCATATTGCCACACATACCACTGTGTGATCACACCCACCTGCAAGCTCTTCAATTCCTGTAAAGACTCTAAAGATTCTGCCTGCTCTGTTGTTCCACAAACTGAAAATAAAGGTCATTATCAACTGACTCCCTGCCAAAGTGTGCTGCATTCAGGTTCTAAATTGACCCAGTTACAAGAGCTGAATGACTACTGACTGCAGCCCTCACATTGACCTTAGTAAAGTGCCTAGAGAGGTTAGAGCTCCCCCTTCTCCTCTTACAAGCAAACCCAACCCATGATCTGTTATAGTTTGCCTATAAGTCAAACCACTTATTAGGAATCACTCCATTAACTTTCACTGTTATGCAGATGATACCCAGTTATATTTATCGATCAAGCCTGATAAAATTAATCAAGTAGCTAAATTACAAGCATGTCTTAAGGACATAAAAACCTGGATGACCTGCAACTTTCTGATGTTTAACTTAGACAAAACTGAAGTTCTTGTACTAGGCCCCAAATACCTCAGAGACTCACTGTCTACAGTTACTTTAAATGGTATTACCTTGTTAGGTCCTACTCCCACATAAAGCAAACCTTTTTCATGGGTAACATTGCAAAAATTTGACACATTCTGTCACAGACAGATGAAGAAAAACAAATTAATGCATTGGTTACTTCTAGGCTGGATTACTGCAATTCCTTATTATCAGGTTGCCCCAATAATCCATTAAAATGCTCCAATTAATTCAGAACGCAGCAGCACGAGTACTGACAGGAACTAGGAAAAGAGATCATATTTTTCCTGTACTAGCTTCTCTGCACTGGTTCCCTGTAAAATTCAAAATAAAATTAAAAAACATCCTCCTCCTCACTGGGGCCAACTCTAAAGCTTCTTAAAGTGGACTGCAAAGACATTAGTCATGTGTCTTGGAGGGAACTCACTGTAACTCCAGACTTCCCCATTCTGTCTGCACTGTGACGGAACATCAACTATAAAATACACTTTTCTGTTCATGAACCACCTTGGAAAAACAATTTTTCAACTGCAATATTATTTATTGTGTTTTCACTCTCTTCCTCTCCCTCTCTTCACATTCATGTCCCACTAATGCATATCACTAAGTTCACTGAGTTCTTGTGCTTTCTCGTCTTGCAGATTCTCATGGATCCTGGTGGTGCCTGCTGCCATGGTCCTGCTTGATGCTCACTGCTATTATTATGATTATTATTATTATTCCTTACTCATCATTCATCTAAAGTCCAAAGATGGATCATAATATCTTGGTGATTTTCTTAATGAGTGAACATGTTTTGTAGTCAAGCTCCTTTGTGTGTTTGACATCCCATTGTCTATTTTATGAAGCCAAAATAAAGAGGATGAAGGAGCGTTGTGAAAAGAATCTAAAATGGGAAAATGCTGAAACAAAACATAAAAAATAAGGTGTGAACTACATTTGCATATTCATGGATTCTGGATTTTTTAATGAATGTCAGATACATATTATTGTTGCAAGCGATTTGGCACCCTCATCTCCAATACCGCTGTGGGAAATATGTACAGCTGCACATGTGCATTTGTTAAGATCACATTGCTTAAAAACTAGCAAGTTGTCAACTTTGCTAACACAGCCAAACATCAAGCAAGTGCAACAACACAAGACATAGCAAGCTAATATTACTGACTAGTCCAACAGCAAGAAGGCCAGCTCGCCATCTGTCTGCAGCCTTTTATTTCAAGCTCTGCTGCTGGAGTGTTGAAGTAGTTGTTCTCAAAGGCTTGGATTGTAAATCTTTCTAAATTACATTGATATACAACTCATTTGCAACAGAAAATAAAGGTGATGCAGACCAAATTATGTTTTCTCTTGACATAATAAGGGAGTTAATGAATGTATGGCAAGTCACAAAAGTGATACTGAACATATTAGTATGATAATGATAATAATGATAATGTTTAAAGGAAAGTAATTTACAGGGTAAAACAACAAAAACATCAGGACTCAAACACTAAGAATCATAGTACCATCAGTAATATATATATATATATATATATATATATATATATATATATATATAAGCAATAAACATGTAAAACATAGCAATTGTGGTGGAAGAAGAAATTGTGAGCATCATGTACAAACTGAGTAATCGATCTCCCCAATTTATTATCCCATGTCCTTGTCAAGAACTTTTCCTGGTTCTCTGGAACATAACAGGAAATATTCCTGGTATTTTCTGACAGATCTAATGCCCTTGCCCTGAGCCCAGTTCATAAGAAATCTCCTATGGAGACAAAATAAGCCCAAAGTTAAACCAAGATAGAAATTACATGTAACGTTACAGCTAATATGAATATTGTGTGAAAAATATACCACACAACAAATAAAAATGAAAGCTAAAACAATAAAACTGTGGTTAAAAGGATCACCAGAAGGCAAGACTATAAAAGTGTGTTTTAAGAAGAGACTTAAATGAAGCGATGAGGAGTAAAGAGTTCACTAATGTATTTCATTTGTTTTCCAACAAAATCTTGCAATACTCTCCACTCGTTTTACAGCTACAGCATTATTCAAAAGTCAGCAGTGACTTGAGACATAAGAGTTTTCATTAACATTTATGCATGTTTACATGCATTGCACCCTGAGTGGGCCTATATATTAAATGACTATAATTACGTATTATAAAATAGAAATGAAATTTAAAAAATAAAATGAAATAACTCAAGCTATCAAATATCTGGTGGGGCACGTGCCCTTTCAGCTTAAATCGGCATGACTCGACTGTCATGAAGCAAAACATCAGAATAATATTACACATCTAAAACACAAAATGGCACCAGAGCCTTGATGATCAGATTTCATTCCAAATATTCATTCAGTAATTTCCTAAAGGGCATAAACAGAATGTGTGTAAACATGTAGGCAGTTTCGTGTACTATCGTGAAACAAAGTCTTTTAGAAATACACATGTCCACATCACACTTCAGAAATTATATTTCATATCTAAATATTTGTTTCTATTTATGAATCTTTTTAATTTTCAGAAAAGTTACAATTTCTGTAAACCATCTTATCTTAATCTTAACCAAAATAACTTACTGTGATACAGTGATAATACTTTAATAATGTATAATAAAATTACTTTTTCATTTTTAAATAAATATGATTGATATAGTAAAAGTAGCTCTAGCCTGAAGGAAACTGTTGAGGCAGCACTATTGTGTTTATGTCACTGAGGACGGAACTATAACATCTTATTACGTGAAAAATTAATATCACACAGATTTTTGTGTTAATCTACACAAATAATAAACCTAAAAGGAAAACCTAACTAACAGTAGTATATGAGATCAGGGAGATGAGTGCATGAGAAGTGTTTGAGTGCTCTGTTGTAATTAAACCATCAAACCAAAACAAAATGGTTGTCTCAGGGAGGAGAAAGAGCCAGTACTGAGCTCCAAGAGGGTTTTTGAAGGAGCACTGGCACACAGACTACATGTGAGTACACAGGCAGAATATCTCCGGCCCGGCTGGTATCAGAGCTTGCTTTTACCCGAGGCACAGAGTACACAACATTATCACTGTCACCACCGGGGGCGCTGCTGGGTGAGCCAACGGTCCGGTTGGAAAAATTCAACTTAGAGTAGATGAGGTTACTCGAGTCGTCTTCAGTCTGGAAAAAGAAAAGAGTGTTTAAGGAATGTTTCAGTCTGATATCTAATGTCCACCAGATGCAAATGTAGCAGTGAGAGTCTGCTCTTTTATTTCCTAAATGAGTCTTCATTTAGTACAACTTCAGAAAAAGTTTGCCAATAGCCAAATTTAGATTGTTATGTGTGCACAATTTAAGTGATATCACTTAAATGATTCAATGTACTAAACCATATCATTTGCAAAATGCCAAAACTTTACATAATGCTTGGGATAAAACCTTGAATAATAATAAAAATGCATATGTATATTGAATATTGTATTGATATTAAACTATTTTTTGCATGTTACTGACTGGCACAGCATGCAGAAGTTTTACAATGCTTGATTCTTGATTGCTTCTTGAACTGCAGACATTGTCCAAATAAATTAATGAAAAGAGGCATTTAACAAAAGTTAATATGAAACAAAGGCAGCTAGAACTTTCCCCCTCTAACACTGCTGATTGGGTCTGTGAGATACATTTTGTGAGAGGTATGTACAAATAAAATGATCAGCATCATGTTTTTTAAAAGGATGCAGGCTCCCTCTCTCTCTCTGCGGGGCCTGCTCGAGGTTTCTGCCTCTTAGATAATTTTATAAGGAGTTCCGTCTAGAGCTTCTCTATTTAAAAAGTGTCCTGAAATAACTAATTTGGTCTTCTACAGGAGATCTGCTCCATCTGTTCTCTCTAATAATCTCATACACTCAGTTGGTCTAATGGATAAGAGGGGATTGGTTTGTTTTAATATCAGCTAATTTCACAAACACTGATGATGCTTGTATTCAATTCAATTCAATTCAATTTTATTTGTATAGCGCCAATTCATAACAGAAGTTATCTCAGGACACTTTTCAAATAGAGCAGGTCTAGACCAAACTCTTTAACATTATTTACAGAGACCCAACAGTACCACCATGAGCAAGCACTTGGCGACAAGGGCAAGGAAAAACTGCCTGTTAAAAGGCAGACACCTAGGACAGATCCTCCGGCTCTAGGTGGGTGGTCGTCTGTCTCGACCAGTTGGGGTGTGAGAGAGAGAGAGACAGAGACAGACAGACAGGTGCACAGCAACAACAGTATTAGCAATGGCAATCTAGCAGGACCATGGCAGGAGGCTCCACCAGGATCGACAAGAACCTGCGAGACGAGAAAGCACAAGAACTCCGGGGAAGAAGTGAAGTTAGTAACATGCATTAATGGAACATGAATGAGTGCAGAAAGAGAGAGGAAGGGAGGAGCTCAGTGCACCATGGGAAATCCCCCGATAGTCTAGGCCTATAGCAGCATAACTAAGGGATGGTTCAGGACTCACCTGATCCAGCCCTAACTATAAGCTTTATCAAAGAGGAATGTCTTAAGCCTACTCTTGAATGTGGTGAGGGTGTCTGCCTCCCGAACCACAACTGGAAGCTGGTTCCACAGGAGAGGAGCTTGGTAACTGAAGGCTCTGGCTCCTGTTCTACTTTTAGAGACTATAGGAACCACAAGTAGCCCAGCATTCAGAGAACGTAGTGTTGTATGATGTTTAAAGTTGACCAAAACTCACCTCTGTGACAGAAGTGTACTCTGTTTCCTCACGAGGTTCTAAAAGAAAAAAACTGTGTTTAAAAAATGACAACCCACTGATGAAAGATCAGGTTTAGTCGAATAGAAACAAACTTTGACACATTCTGTCCCTAATAAATGATTCAAGCATTATTTTAGCAAACATTAAGATGTGCTATTCCAAGTTGAACAGGTTGCGTAGCAGTTAAAGTCAAGTCAAGTCAAATTTGATTTAACCCAGAATCACAATGCAACAACATTCAAACACCTTCTGTCCTAAGACCATTGATTAGAGGAATAAAAACTCCCCTAAAAATCCCTTTTAACAGGGAAAAAATGGAAGAAACCTCAGGAAGACAAACAGAAGAGGAGGGCTCCCTCTCCTAGGATGGACAGACATGCAATAGATGTTGAGTGTATCTAGTCTTGCTAACATAATGATTCTGGATTGAGACAAGGTCTTTGGTGAACTTGACATGATAAACTAATGAAACACAGAGGACAGTAGAAGGGGCGGTTCTACTGTAGAATCCAAAATAGAGGAAGACTTGTAGGCAGCTTGATTTACAGTCAGGTTGGGGTTACTGCCCATCCCGTCTGATACAGGAACGTTAGGATCATACAGGATCATTTTGTTTCTTGTATGTGCACCCTACTTAAATGATTACACTATGGCTTGCTCCTGGCAGTGTATCATCTGTAGATCTGAGAATCGACCTGGCTTTAACTTTTTATGCTCTGACACAACTCTCCCAATTTAGCCGGACTCGGGACCGACAATTAGGACTGTACAGCCCCAGTGGCAAACAGGGGCTGCGAACTGGAGTTGAGTGTCTTGCTGAAGGACACTTTAACATGTGGATAGAAGGATGTGGGGATCGAACCTCAACCGTGCGATCAGCGGATGACCCTCTCTACAACTCGAGCCACAGCTACCCGCTATCACATCATCAAATCACACAAGAAATAATAAAACCAGAAGAGTTTTGCAAGACATATTATTGAATCAGAATTTGCAAAAGAGAATGACACCTAGAATGAGGCAAGTTGTCTGTTACTCAGTGTCATCGGTGACCTGATAACGGTGACTAAGACCCTCAGATACAGATCTGAATGGCAGCTGAGTGGCTCAGTCTTGTCAGCAGAAAAAGTATTTTCAGGTCGGCCATGGTGGACTGTCTGAGCTGAGGGAACCTTTAGACTGGGACTGCTACTACCTTGTCTGAATGGCACAACGGCATTCAAAGCAGAGTTATTTTGACTGACCAGACATTTTGTTCATGTCTATGATCAGATGTTTCAATCCTTAAAATAACTGAAGCAACTGTGTAGGGCTGAAAAAATTCCTCGAGAAACTCGATTACTCAAATCAGTGATGCTTGTTTAATCCGAATGACTATTGTATAAAAGGCTCTGACGTTTATGGTGCTTACTACTATATACAGCCATACAGTGCACAACATGAGGTTATCTACATACTTGTGTGTTGTGACTAAACTCTGAATGGCTTGTCTGTTTCAAAGGTTAAAGTGATCATATCATTCTTTATGGGCAGGAGTGTTTCAGACAGAGGGTGAAAAGGGATGCAGTGGCATGTGTTTTTTGAACATTAAAGCAAGGAAACATAAATACAAGTATGAACCTGAAAATTAGCACAATATGGTTTCTTTAATTTTACAAATGGGAAGTTGCGTGTGTTTCCTGTTGCCTCACCTTTGGGTTTAGTAGACTTCTTCCTGCAGTACACCAGCACAGCCAGTGATAATAGCACAACCAGGGCAGCCAGAGTCAGTCCCACATACAGCCACACATCTGCAGTGGTTTGAGGAGAAGGACGAGTTATGGTATGGTGTTATGGTAAATGGGCTGCACTCTATTCTACAAATCACTTAAAGAGCTTTACACTACATGTCACATTCATAGACATTCATACTCTGATGGCAGAACTTCAGGAGCAATTTAGTGTTTAATATCTTGCTCAAGGACACTTTGAGATGCAGTGGGAGGAGCCAGGGATCGAACCGCCAACCTCCTAATTCGCGGACCACCCACTCTACTTAGCCACAGCCATACATCCATACAGCATGATGTTCCTCAGTATTTTCTTATAAAGGGTTCTTTGATAAGGGTCTTTCTAAAAAACATACACTGAGTAGTGAGTCAGCCATGTTTGGAGCAGTTAGAGGAAAAGACAGAGCTCATGATTGGTCAGTTGTACAATCTGGAATAACTGATGTTTGAATGTGAATGTGAATAAATTTGCCTCATCAAGTTGTTGTATGTGTTTAATGGAGCTAAATCTTGTAGTAATATACACACTTTAATAAATTCATGCACTTTGAACACCATATTACAGATCTACTGTACATGCACACATTAATACACATTTTGTTAGGTTTGCTAGGTGCTGGAAGGACAGTTAACTGTAATTGCTTTCAGTCAGACTTTCATCAAATACAGTGTGTGGATGTACCTGTAGTTGCTGTTGTCTGCTGTGTTGTTGGTGTGAAGGTTGATGGGACTGATGTTGAAACAGCCGGTAGAGTCAAGTTTGGTTTAGAAGTGGTTGAACCTGTGGACGACAAAGAAACAACAACATACTGATAGAAAGAAATCCTGCGGCATTTATCAGTGTTCAATTTATTGAATTTAAAACATCAGCAGCTGTCAGTGAAAACTTTCTTCAGACCTCCAGAGACACAAACAGACATTTTCATTCATTTTCAATCCACTTTAAATGGAAACTCACCATCTGTGACAATGATCCTAAACTCCTGGTAAGGGTCTGGTAAGAAAGGTCTGTCCAGACCACACCTGTACTGTCCTGAGTCAGACTGGGTCAGCTGTGTGATGCTCACATACACAAATCCTCCTGTAGCAGATCCTCCTTCATATCTAATTCTGTATCTGCCTTTCTGATCTCTTCCACCAGTTGTTTCAACAAGAATATCTTCTTCTTTACAGTCGTCCTTACAGAAGTACTTCCTGCTTCCAGAGACAGTAAAGAAACAAGCAACTGTGATACTTCCTCCAGGTCTTGGATAGAAGGTTCTTACAGGAGGATTTCCATCCAGCAGTGCTGTTGAAAAGATGAACAATCAACAGTTACTATCTGTACTTAAGATGATGCAGTCTCATCACAATAATCTTTAGTTCCTGTAAGAAATCCCAATAATTCCTGTTCCAGATCTGATCTACAGTCCCAGTTGGAGCTGCTCAGTTCAACCAGTCTGTGACTGCTGGTCGTGGTGTAACCATCTAACTGATTTAGATTCTTCCACCAAAGATCCTCATAATCTCTCATTCTGCCCACAACTGGATTTGATTTCATTAGATTTGTTTTGATGCTTTGTAAGTGTAAGTTGTAAAAAGTGACTGATTCAGCTGATAATTAAATGTATGTGAACTTTCAGCTTTAAAATAGTCCCATCAGAAAGTAGTGCAAGGAAACAAGATTAGCCAGAACTTAAGTTTCATGTTGAGTTTCAGCCAGACTTTCATATTAGTCTGGCTAGCTTGAGTTGATTTATCTTACCTATTACAGTCATACCTATTCTGAAGGTCTTAAATCTTGCCCCTGATGAATAGCCACCATATTATTATTTAAAAAACTAAAACTGACACTGAAATGAATGAGAACTAGACAGACTAAACATTTTTATTTTAAACAGTACACGTTGATAAAAAAAATTTAACAACAAAATCTATGAGCAGCCGTCAGTGAACAGTGAAACTTTTCTTCAGACAAGAAAGAACATCTTAATGACTTTAAATAGAAACTCACCATCTACAATGATGATTTCAATCAGCTGGTATTGAGCTCCAGAACCACACCAGTACAGTCCAGAGTCTGACTTGGTCAGCTGTGTGATGGTCACAAAAACATTTCCTCCTGTAAAAGTTCCGTCATATGTCATGCTGTATCTGCCATTGTGAGCTGTAACACCAGTAGTTTGAATGAGAATGTCCTCTTGATTACATCCTTCCTTGCAGAAGAACTTCCTGCCTCCATAATAAGAAAAGCATTTAACTTTGACAGCTCCTCCTCCAGTTCCTGTATAGACAATGGTTTGGGCATTGACCAGAGTGTTTCCATCCTGCAGAGCTGTTAAAAGATGAACAATCATTATTTACTGACTGTACTTTCTGTAAGATGCCCCATTGTTGTGGCTATTATCATCATCATCATCATCATCATCATCATCATCATCATCATCATCATCATCATCATCATCATCATCATCATCATCATCATCATCATCATCATCATCATCATCATCAGTCATTTCTATTAGTATGGTTGTTGTTACTGTTGTTGTGCACCTTTGTCTCTGTCTCTGTCCTTCTCTCTTTAGCACCAATCCCTTCTCTCTCTCTCTCTCTCTCTCTCTCTCTCTCTCTCTCTCTCTCTCTCTCTCTCTCTCTCTCTCTCTCTCTCTCTCTAACCCCAACTGGTCGAGGCAGACAAGCAGCCACCTAGAGAGCCGGGGTCTGTCAGATGTTTTTGCCTCTTTAAAGGACGTTTTTTTCTTGCCGCTGTCACCAAGGTCTTGCTGACCTGAGATAACTTTTGTCAATAAAACTGAATTGAATTAGACTTAGACTTAGACTTCACTTTATTGATCCCTTTGGGATGACTCCTTTAAGGAAATTGAACTGAATTGATCACAACATTTCCTGCTTCACATTAACACACATCCACAGAGTCACACTGGGAGCTGCCCAGTTCAACCACAGTCTGTGACTGAGGATCACAGACTACGTTCACACTGCAAGCCTCAGCACTCAATTCTGATTTATTGATCAGATCAGATTTTATTGTTCTCACTGATCACATTATTTTCTAAATGTGGCCAATATCAGATTCCAGAGTGAAGAACAATAACAAAGACGTCATATACAGCATGCTGTTGTAAAGAGGTAAACATGGAGGCCACTGTAGACAACGTGGACGGTTTATAAGTCGATCAGTGGAAGCCAGAGAATTCATGAGCAGTAAATAGAGTCATGTATTTGTTTGTTTTACTGTCAGCAGGATTATGGAAAAACTACTGGTCTGATTTTCCTGAAACTTTGTGGAAGTGTGTAGCATGGGCCGAGGAAGATTACATTTAGCAGCAGATTTGAATCACAGGTTAGACACACAAATTATTTTCCTCTTTCCAGAGGCTAAATGAAATGAATTATTTGCTTCATGATGAAAGTGAACGCTGTGACTTAAGACAACAGCCACAGTTGGAACGGATGGGATTTGGGATTTTCCGATATCCACATAACTCGTAATTAAAGTGTACAGTGGGAGCGTTCAGAACCTGAGAATCCTCTGGTTTTTAAGATTTCTTCAGTATCAAACTGATTCAGTGATAGTTGTCAGTATGTCCAATGGTACACAAAATTCACAACATATGGACTGTTAATAGTTAATTTGACAAATTTAATTTTAAAATATGAAACAGGGCTTACATTGCTGAGTTTGACTCACTGTCTCCATGGCAACATAACAGAAGATTATATAATAAAACAAAGTGAAAACCCACTTATGTTTTTTTCCTTGACTACAGTCTGTAAGTTTGTGGCGTTCATTTTGCTTCCTTATTTGCAGTTTGTTTTGAGGAAGTAACAAGTACTTGTCATGAACTATATTTGAAAGTATTGACACATTTCCTCTGACCTGTCTTAAAATAGTAATAGCTTGTGTGTTCATTGAGTTTTGTTCTCTGTAATTGTTTCTTCTGTTCATACTGACCACACAGAGATCTCTTATTAAAGCACTTTCAATATAAGTGAAGGGGCACAAAATCCACAGTCCTCGTTCTGTGTAAAAATGTATTCTGAGCTAATGTGAAGCTTCAGCAGTCTGACTCTGTCAGTCTCTACCAAACTTACCTTTTACACTACTGAGCAATAAAGAAAATAAAGAAAATGAACGTATAATAATGAGAGAGCTACAGAAATACAAAGTGAATGTACTCACAGAGGAAGAAGAAACAGATCGAGTGTGATGGACTTTTAATTAAAACTGTCATTAAAACTCATTATCAGTGAATTTATGGTCATTTTTTCTTCATAAACCAGTATGCTCTTCAGTACGTCTACACAGGACAAATGATACATTTTAGTGACTCATTTAGTCCTTTTTTGAGTCCCAAAAGGGACAAAATTTCTGCAGCAATTGAATTGCTTTTCTGTTTTAACATTATAAATATAGTTCATAAGCCTCACAGTTTCTGGTGTCTGTGGTGCAGCATCCAGCTAAACAGGAAGTGACTCATACGGTACAAATCGCCACCGATCTCTTTGGCTAAGTCAATATTACTATAGTTTAACACTGGTGCATTCATTTAGAACTGCAAACACACATCACAGCTGTCTGTTTATACTGCGTTATTCCTAAAAGTTCATCCACACCTTCGGACCAATTAGAATCAGTGTTCATGGCATAAAATTAAAAAAAGAAAGTTCAAGTGAGATTGTTTTAGGACCACCTCATGAGAAACTGTTACACTACTGAGCAATAAATAAAATAAAGAAATATGACGTATAATAAAGGAGACGCACAGAAATACAAAGTGAATGTACTCACAGAGGAAGAAGAAACAGATCAAGGTGTGATGGACTTTCATGTTGACGCTCTGATGGTTTACTGCTGCCTCTCTTCCTTCCTCACTGGTAAACCAGGAACTTCTGTCTTCTTTAAATGATGGAGTCCCTCCTCTAAACACAACACACAGCTCTACTCTCCTCCCTTCTCCATCAGTCTTTATTTCTACTGCAGGTTTCCTACATGTTTACGGTTCGTTAACACTACAATTAAACTCATTGCAGGTAAATGAATGGTCATGTTCTTGTAACAAAACAGTGTGATCGTCAGTATGTCCACACGGCAGAAAATAAAAAAATAAAGTCATTTTGTCAATTTACAACTGTATTTATAATTTAAACAATTTTTAGATTTAATAGTTTAATGGTCAAAAATACAAACTAATAAAGGCACCTAACAGTAGCCAATCAGAGACAGAGTAGGGCAGATCTTCGCTGAATGCTTGTGGGGGTAAAACTCAAGCGTTGCACTGGTGTTTAGGGGTGGCAGTGTGCAATAAGAAGGAAGTACCAGCCCATATGGACAATTTCACAACATTTCAGTCACTGCTTTTTGCCAGATTGTTATCTGACAACATTAGAGAGAAATTAAGGCTTGTTCTGAAATCTCTCTCCTGCTTCACCCTCCTCTGCCTGTTGCCCTTCTCGCCCTCGTCCACTCTTCAGTTTGTAGGAGCTTCATCCATCCATGTTGTCCATATACTCAAAATTATCTAAATATTCAGCCATGACATTGAAAATCTTTTACATAAAACTAAGCTATGCTTTCTGTACTCCAATGCATCAAACTCTTCCCAGCTAACATACTACGCTCACTTTTCCATTGTTCATTCACAATAAACCAATCCACAAACAGACACACAAATATTACACAATAAATGAGAAATTATTGAAAACTGTTACATGAATCCCCAAAAATTCTTCCTTCCTTTTTTGTTTTTTTTGTTTTTTTTTTTTTAAAAATTTTTTTTTTTTTTTTTTTTTTTTTTTTTAAAAATTTTTAAAATTTTTATTTTTTTGTTTTTGAACCCCCCCAAAAAAACCGTTTTTTTTTTTCCTTTTACTGGCCCCCCTCATAATTTGGGGGGTTTTGGGCCGGCTGTGTTAACCCTTTCTCGCTAGCTCCAGTACCCAGCTACAGTTAACTAGCTCCTATAATAAAGCTTTAAAATCTCAAAGGGGAATGTAAGACTCTAATTTCAGGGAAGTTTTCAGTTAACTCAAAATAAAAGCAAGTGCATAATACCTGAAATCAGTTCTGCCAACATTAGTGATTCCATGAGGGATGTCTAAGGTTAAGTAGTTGCTGGATGATGTGCCTTAGTTACTAGATTTAAATGAGAGTAGAGATGTGAGGTTGTTTGGAAGCTTCAACAGTACAGCAGTAATGCGACAGTACTCATTTAAAGCCCAGAGTTTTACTTTGGACAGCTGCATTTTTCTCCTGTCACTTTAGGGAACAGCCTTTGATTTAAGGGAAGGCAATGCATTTTTACCTGGAATTCAGTGCATTTGAGGCCTCTCTCAGAAACTTCTGGGTGACAAATGCTTTCTGCCACTCTACCAACAGAGGATGTGGTCTAAGGACAGAGAATCTGTTGCTGAGATAAATATAAACTTCTTTAGACAGGAAGAGTCTGCTGCTCTTACTGGAACAGCGTGGTCTGTCCACCATTACGTGAAAGAAGTTAGTAACTTTAAAACTGCTACGTGTAGAATTTAAAAACAAAAACTGGAACACTAGAGAAGCTCAGAAACAGGCAATCTGGAAACTGATGATGACAATGTTGATTTTGTCTTGTAAAATAAAGAACACATTTGAATTAAATAAACCGTTGCTAAGTTAAAGTTGCTGTAACAGCCTGTTAATGCTGCTGAAGTGGTGTTGGTGTTTGTCAGACACATTTTGAAAAGACTGAACTTCACAGTCACAGTGGATGTTTGTGGTCAATGTGTGAAACAGAGCAGAGTGTACGAGAAGAAAAAGAGACGGTTTTGTACAAAGCAATGAAATACTGATTTGAGTGCTTTTAACTTTAAATGTAAACTTTATGAGGATGGTCACATTGAGTAAACAATATTTAGCTTCTTTCAATTCAAAATGACCTCTGCCAGATCTATTCATAGTGCGCTTTGTAGGAGTTCACACTTATTCAAGAACCTCTGCAAGAGGTGTGAATGTGGAAAAAAAGGTGTTGTTCCTGTTGTTCATTAACCTTTTGTTTAACTGACGTGCATTTAAAAACTGCCCTCCAATTTGAGCCTGAACTACCTTCTAACAGCTAACGCGGTCTGTGTCGGCTGTAACAGTGCAGATTTAGTGGCTTCTGGCACATTCTGCTTCCACTTTTCCATCATATACACTGATCTTAATCCATGACTGTAGCCATGTATTCATTCTAATGTACTTGATCAATTCGGAATCTGTTGATTTTCCACTACACTTTATGTTCCTGTTGGGTGCATCTTTCCTCTCCTGATACACTCCACACCTCTGGACGGAAAGCAGGTATGATTTAAGAAGGAACATCCACTTTCTTTGCAAACAGAGCAAAAGAAAATGACAGGATAACCACAGTTGTAAACCATGGATATATCTATGGATGGATGTTTCTATATTTTTCATATACATATATGTGTGTGTATATAAATAAGTCACTAAAAGTGTCACCCCAAAAACCTATGAGGTCCAACAGCTTACTGTCCCTGCACTGACTACCTCCATCACAGCTGAGTGCCGATCTATAGTAGCGTAAAAGGTCACATTGCAAAAAAATAGGAATCTGAAAAGATCAGATTCCATGTGATTTGACACTTTTTAAAATAACAGATCTGAGTCACATATGAGCAAAAAAAAAGAGACAAGGAACCAAACCCAGCAAGAAAACCAGCTCGGATTATTCCCTGTCACACTGGCCTCCATCAGACTTGGAGGCTGTTCGGGCCGGCTGTGTTAACACTTTGCTCAGCTAGCTCCATTCTTTAGTAACAATAAAGCTAATGTTATCTGTCCGAGAGATGAGGCAGAGAGCAGCCGAGGACATCAGAGGGAAAACCAGATAATATTTGTTTCTATGAAATATAATCCACTTTCACCAAAATCAGTGAATAAAGTTTAAAGCTGTGTTTCTGTACAGTACACTGTTTTCCTGATATAGGCTGTTTACTTTGTTGCACATGTGAATAAAGACTCAATGTGACTTAGTATTTCCTTCCTTTACTGGCACTGCAAAATACATTGTTAACACGTTTCTGTCCAGCGTTTTCTCTTAGCACTACCGTGCAATGCAGTGACGTCCGGTGAGGCACTGACTTCATCAGAATCAGATTTACAAATACATGAACCCAACAGAGTAGATTATTCACCATCTGATCAGCAGCAGTTAACGGGTTATATTTCATATCTCATATCAGCATTCTTTACACATACAAACCGGTGTTGCTCTTCCTTTAATAATTACCCCCTGCTTCAACTGAAAGTCCAGTTTAGGAAATTGTTTGAGCTTGTAGATCCTCCATTCTGAAATCAGGCAGGGCGAGAGGGAAGAAAATGAATCTCTGCACTTGACTCTGTAATAGTAAGCACAGACTGTAAGATGCTAGCTCGCTGTCACTGACTCTGCAGCTGTGCAGTAGCATAAGAATCTGTGGGCTCAGGAGTGCCCCCTACCATGAGGCAAGTGAACTGCCTGCCTCACCTAGTGCCTCTTCACTGCCTTTGTAAGATCGCCGAGCACACGAAACAGGTTACACACATATATTATATACATCAGCTAAACTATGGAAAGTCAGAGGGGCATATATTAAAAGTGTTAGAAACATTTGATTGGCGACATACAGAGAGACAGTAACACGCTCTCATTGCATGGCAGAGCACAGTTTGTGAGGGATTGCAATCCAAGGTGAGGCTCAGCTTGCTGCTGCCTCACTGTGCGTCTGTGCCCCGTATTTGATGGGAAATGTGAGAATTCGTTTTTTTATAAAAAAACAATTCAAATTGAAAAGTTAAATGGAAAATTATTTTATAGTTCAAACCATGTGATAAATATAACCATTTAATTTATTTGTTTATTATGTATATTTAATTTTTTCCATGATGACACATCACTGGTGCAATGTATGTGCTTTGACCCGGTTTACTCCTGACAGAAGCGCTCATTTAAGGGTATACTTCCTCTTGTGGCTGAATGGTGTAACAACACATTTCTACTACAATGCCTGAGTGCAGGAAGCACAGTGACCCTTTTAAAAACATAAAACAATGCACATTTTAATAAACATCAACTGCTGTAATATATGAAATGAAATGTAAAATATTAAATAATATATATGGGTGGTGGCTTTTCCTATGAACTAAACAGTATGTGTAAGAAGAAAGTCAATTGAACGTCCTGCCTGAGTTATAACTGATGAATTGTCTGTATTTCCAGCGCTTAGATCAAATACTTCTCTTCCATTAATATGTATGTCTGCATTCAATGTAACATTTAATACTGATGCCTCTGTATGACCTACAAAAAATAACAAGACCATCAGCCAGTGTCACAATCTGCCTCTGTCTCTTCCTGCAGGCGCATTCCCACTTCATCACATTCATTACCATTCCTGTCCACCAGATGCCCTCTCACTTGTTGTCCTCCCACATCCTGCCACTCCATCCTGCTCTACAATGACCCTTTTCCATCCAGTTCCATCTGACCTTTCCTGCCTATCTCCCCACCTGCGCCTCATCCCTGATCAGCCTGTAGCACGTCGCTACTACCGAGGGTTCTCTCAGCACACGGACCACAGCAGAGATTAATAAACAAGACAACTTTATTGTAATTGTCAGCCGCACACACTATTAACACAGCTTAGCTCACTTCAAAAGTTTGTGAAAGTTCCCTCCGCTTGTCTCTTCTGTTGTGTGTCGGCCCCGGGTCCAACACACTACTGCAACATAAAGGGTAGAGTGATTACACAATGACTAGCAACTGAGATACACAATCACAATCCTTCCCCACACCTCTCTCTCCTGCAGCTGAGTGCAAACCACACCCACCTCCACCAGCCAATCACTGTATACCAGCTCATGATCACACATGTCTGTGCCCTTTGTTGATCCTTTCTTCCTTTGTCAGTTCTTTGCTATGTTCCTGTCTGAACCCGCCTACCTGTCTGACTGTTACCTGTCCACCTGTTATCTGTCGACAGCCCGGACTGTCTGCCTGTCACTGTGTTGTTTTTGACATACCTTAATGTGCTAGTATTTGAATTTAAAATGTAATAACAACAAACAACAAAGACAATAGACAGACACTATACAACATAATAAAAGATAAAAGTGCTCCAGGATCTAAAAATAAGATCTGGTCCAGGACTCAGAGACATATTACTGCAACTTGATTATTATTATTTTCATTATTTAAATAATAAGTTCTGTCTTATCTTACTGCCCTGAAATGACTAATGATCATTCACTACAGACTGTGGTGACTATTTGTCTGTGGCTGTAGTTTAACACAATAGAATCAGACATGGTTTTGAAAAAGGGGAACATCTTGAACAAACAGTATTAGCAAACCTATGATCAGATAAATTTGAATTTTAGACAAATAATTGTTGCTTCCCACCAATTTGCATGAAGTCAAATAATGTTCAACCTAATATTTCCACATCCTCCCATCTGAGGTCAAACCTTTAGAATAAACAGAGAGCCAACAGAGATGGACATAGTTCTTCTGCTCATTGTGGCTGCATCAGGCAAGTGTCTTATTTGTTTTAAATATATTTTAATTATTTTATTACTCTACATTACCATATCACTGTGGCTACAAAGCAGTCATCATACTGTAACACTATTATGATGTACGACAGTTACTGTATATAATACTTATCCAGTGATTGAACATCATTGTGTTTTTCAATATTTCTTGATGCTGAACTGACTTTTAAACCCAAACACAAAGACCTTGGATGTGTTTGAGAAAAGCCTGAACCAATCACAGCTCTCATTTTTCAAATATAATTGGGGATAAATCAACCAAACATACGCAGACGGAAGGATTTTACTCAGTACCAATAAGAGAATGCAAAAATACTCCATTAGAAGTAAAAGTCCTGCATTTAAAATCTATTAAGTAAAGTTTATGTTAACAGCAACATGTTTTTAAAGGTGTGGTCAGTCATTCTGGAGAAAGAGAGTTGATTCACTAACAACGACCACGGCATCGAATGTATGAAATAAGAAGTTTATTGCACATAATGGACGAATGTGAACAGATGTGGTATACTGAGGGATGAGGGGAGGGGGTTGAGGGATGAAGGGATGGAGGGGTTCGCCGTGATGTAAGAGGAAACCGAGTGGGATGTGAGACTCTGAGTGGGGTAGGCTGTCTTTTCGTATCTCTTGTAGAAACCCCCAGTGGTTCCTGTAAGAGAGAGAGAGAGAGAGAGAAAAAGAAAGGGTTTGGGGGGAGGGATGTGGAAAATGAGTCAAGGAGGGAGTGAACAGATAAGGTGTGCTTAAGTAAGTTTGAGCGGAAATGAGATGAGTGCAGGGCGTGGTCTTTGTTCCTGAACCTAGTTATAAAACTTCATTTGTTGGGAGCACGAACTCGACCTGGCTCATTCCCAGCTACTTTGTTTGTTTCCCACAATCCAAAGCGTCAGGATGTTACCACCTGGGAAAGAGACTCAACAATCCCCACTGACACCACCTTAAAGTACTCATTGTGCAGTAAAATGTTCCCTGTCAGTGTTTTACTATCAGATATTACTTTTTGGATTAATATTACTGCTGCATTAATGTGTATGTTGCATTTTATTGCTCCAGATGTTTCAGGTTGAGCTCATTTTAAAGTGGAACTATCAAGGTAAAGATTACAGTCTGTTGGTGCCTCTACAGCATCTAAAGCACAAGTCTGAACCACTGCGCCAGAATATACAAATACTAAGTAGAGATTAGCACTAACCAGCATAAACTGTGAATGATGCATCTCCATCAGTATACATTTGAAAATGAGCGCAGTGGTTTCACAGACTCCCACTCAAAGCGGAGGCTGGGGAAGGTGGGCCGCCCTCCTCTGATTAAAAACACTGATTTTATATCAATGTAATGACGTAAACAGACGACTGTCAGCATTGGACTGAGTGATTTAAAACAGTAGATGGCATGTTGAGCTGGTTAGAATGTCAATATTAACACCAGATTTAAAGAGTTTCATCACAGCACAGTCATATAGTTTAGCTTACAGCTCATGTTTTAGGGTGAAGAACCTCTAAATGAAAGCAAATCAGGAATAGTTCACTTCAGTCCCCCAAAATCCATCCCTATTTTACATAAAAGGTATTGTCAGTTTCATACAATATTTCAGTATGATAGTACTGAGGACTTAACTACAGTCAGTTACAAGTCTGATTCTACTATAAAGACAATGACACACCTGAATATTGTTAAATGTAATGAAATGTAATGTCACTGCAGGGCTGTATGCTGTCTCATCAAGAGGCAGTTCCTCCGTCTGTATATGTAAAGTAGTAATATGAGCACTTGGATGAGGCAGGTAAAAAGTGACTCTTTGCACTTCTGTACTCGCCTGTATGAGGAAGTGTTGACCACAAGCTTGTTCATACAGTACTATAAGATAAGCTCTGTTTCATCCTGTTGGTTGTCACACTCCTGCAGACTGCGTGCACTCTGTATGACTGTTTGACCTTCTTTGTAAAGAATAAACCACACAAACATTTTACTTCTCAAGTCTTTATTCCAGATCTCACCAATTAAAATTTCAGTATCCAAAAAGTTAACATTGTTTTATATAGAATGTGGAGACTGCACTGGAATCAGACAGTAAGGAGAGAGTCAGAAGTGGAGAGACGGAGGAGGAGGAGGAGGAGGACCAAGAGCCGATGAACTGGAGGAGACTCTCAGTAAGTTCCATGTTTCGGGTCCTCTGGAGCTTCTGTGAGCATCCACGACTTCTAAACACACCTCACACAAAATGTATGGTTTCTGCCCTCAAATTACAAATTCTTACAATGACTCTTTAGTGCCCTCAATATACCTGTTAATACAGATTTAAGTTAAAATTTCATAATCCAAACGCGAATCTCAGCAAAATATCTTTCATGCCTAACCGATTGAGAATGATTTGATTACAACGCTTATAAAAATGAAAAAAATTTTTTTTTTTTTTTTTTTTTAATTTTTTTTTTAAAAAAAAATTATATCCCTCTTTCTCAGTACAGAGTTACAGTCAAAATTTTCCAGCTCAGTTCATGAGTGAATGATTTGACCTGCTTGATCTTCTTGTACTTCCTGTCTCACTATCTCTGTATTTTAGCCATGATAGTGTCGTTGGATAAGTTTCCACTTATCTCTAATATCTCAACATCTACAACATGAATTGGTTCAAAATTCTCTAACTATAGCTACAGATGCAGATACAGATACATAATGAATGAGCTGTTTGTTCAGATAGAAAGCTACCAGTTCCAAATATTTACACTGTACAGATATCCTGTATGTTTGAATGTATCAATAATCATGACAAACATTTTTGTATGGAAACATAAAGTGATTTCAGAATGAAGCTATATAAATGTGATATATCACTGCCTTGAAATGATTAATGAGCATTTACTAGAGTAGCAGAAAAACAAAATGGTATCAGATGTGTTTGAGATCCCTGAAATGAGATTTACATTATTTACCTAATATGTAAATAACTGTTTCCATGAAACCAGATGATACTGAAGTACTGTAAGTTATTTTTATGTACAGCCTGATAATATATTTGAACAGCTGCAGTCACACCTCAGAACAAACAAACAAAGAGCCAACAAAGATGGACATATTTCTCCTGCTCATCACGGCTGCATCAGGCAAGTGTTTCACATGTTTTATATTTGTTTATGTTGTTTTATTACAGTACATTATTATATAATCTAATATAATCTCTCTCTCTCTCTCTCTCTCTCTCTCTCTCTCTCTCTCTCTCTCTCTCTCTCTGTTTCTATGCAAATGTTAAAATGGCTGACTGTTAATATACCATGCGTTCTGTCTAAGTAAATCTGTGTGGTGACATATATATCAGTTGGAGCAGCCTTAATTAAAGTTAAACTGTATGCTTTAAACAATAAAGTATAAAATAACACACCCTCTCTGTAATATATTAACCTTGCTGTTGTCTGGAGGGAGTTTCGCTCTCCGGTGTTAAGGCAAAGGCTGCAATGAAGCGCCTTCCAACGGGATAACAACTACCTAAAATTACAAAAAAATGTATTTGACGTGTTTTTCTTTTTTCTTTTTGACCTGCTAACATGGAGGCAGCTGACTTTATGACCTATGCTGCAGTCAGCCACCAGGGGGCGATTGAGATGCTTTGGACTTACATTTGGACAAATACAATATAGGATTTATATATCTTTACCTTGCTGTCACACAGCCATTTCTAATGAACAACTGAAGCCTTATACTGCCTTCTCCAAGGCCACCACTGCCTCAATCCACAGAAACATTAGTTCAAACGAGCGGTAGACCAACAACTCCCTTGTTCTGTAAAATTACTCTTTTTGTCAATTGACTCTGGTGGCTTTGAAGATAGCATTGATATATATATATATATATATATAAAAGACACCCACCTAGAGCCGAAGGGTCTGTCCTAGGTTTCTGCCTTTTAACAGGCAGTGTTTCCTTGCCCTTGTTGCCAAGGTCTTGCTCATGGTGGTACTGTTGGGTCTCTGTAATTAATGTTATAAAGAGTTCGGTCTAGACCTGCTCTATTTGAAAAGTGTCCTGAGGTAACTTTTTCTATGAATTGGCGCTATACAAATAAAATTGAATTGAATTGAATTAAGATATATTATATAAGTATTTTTATTCCAAATCTAATCAATCTGTCTGTCACTGCAGGGCTGTGTGCTGTCTCATCAACTGCTGGACGTCAGTACCATTTTATTTATGACCTGAAGAACATGACTGAAGCCCAGAGTTACTGCAGAGAACATTACACAGACCTGGCCACTACAGACAACATGGACGACGTGAATACCCTGAACAACATGGCAGATTTAAGCCAAATGGTCTACTCTGAATACAGCCATGTGAGTTCACTTTTGTCTTTATTTCATTTCAAAACCATTTTTGACAATTATGTAAGTGACAGGCAGGTTGATGGAAAGTAAGTTGATAAACTGTAATAATATTTTGAGGTGCTTTACTTGAGTATTTCCATTTACTGATACTTTGTACTCCACTACATTTCAGAAAACACTGTTAGCAGCACTTTAATGTTGTGTCTAATCAAACTGGGGCTTTAAGTTTAACTACTTTAGATACTGTTTTACGGTTATGCTGTTCCTCTAGTGAGGACAGTCTTTTAACTCCTTAGCAAAGGTAAACTGGGGTGAGTTGAAGCTGTTAATTAACATTAATGATGCCACGCAGCTAATTTGCAAGGGGGTCATGTCCTATGTGCCCCGCTAAGGTTAGTGTTGGGGTTAGGGTTCCCCGATCCCATACAAAGCAGGGAACATAGAACCCGGGGAACATAGGTATGCTCCCTTTGCAAGCTAGCTTGCTTGTTCACCTGCCTCAAACTTGGCAAAGTAACGTTACACTATACTGTCGCAGATTGTTAAATGTGACTTTTCATAGTCTTCATGGCATTAATTATTACTGCACCCAAAGAGGAGAAGATCATGGCAGGACTAAAAAACCAAGTTCACACTCTTCTGTGGAGTCTTAAGGCGGTTGGCATCCATAAATGTTGCATTACTACTGGATTTCAACAGTTTCACAGTACAACCCACACCCACAGTGACTCCATTCAGGACATTGTTCATTTTATAACTCAGATCCATGTTGGGTTGATGAAAACCCTTCCCTCAAGTAACATCTAGATCTTCTCCAGATATGTCTTCAACGTCCAAGAAACTCCTAGCAACGTCCAGCACAAGAGACTGTGTGTGTGTGTGTGTGTGGGGGTGACGTTTGTAAAGCGGCTCACACTGAAAATAACAGCAACATTTTGTCACATTTAGCTTCAAACAATGTTTAAAAAACTGGTATGAATTTTTTAGAGGGGTTACTTTTTTCACATTTACAACAATATTTGTCAACGTAGAGATATTTTAAATAGTTAAATCCAAATATTAAATGTTACACCTAAATGTTAAATGTTAAATGTTAAATCTAAATGTTAAATCTAAATGTTAAATCTAAATGTTAAATCTAAATCTAAATCTAAATGTTAAATCTAAATACTAAATATAAATATAAATATAAATGTTTCGGGTGAAACAAAATATTTAACTAATATGCAAATTCAAAAAGCTGGTAACTGGAAGTACCAAAATAAAAGCTTGAGGAAGTCAGTGTGTGTTTATAGTGTCAAATAACAAATAAAAACCATCTCATTCGGGGAAATGGACTCTTGGACATGGATTATCGTGATAATAACTACCTAAAATAATAAACATGTTTGGAGAAACTGTATTTGAAGAGTACTTTGATCATACAGAAACTGTTCTAAATGTTTTTATCTGGATGGATAAAGGGTAAAAAAAATGCAGCACCTTCTGTTTCAGATGTTTAGGCTTTGCCTATCTACATCTGAGTATGAGCATTTTCAGAATTTAAGTCCAACAACCCAGGTTAGCTCACTTTACCTTCACTGTGGCTGAGAGTTTGATTGACAGCCTGGTGGTAGCAACTGGTGAGAGGCAATTAACACATGGCTCATTTGAATATTAAAATTAGCCATGTGTTGGTCACCACATGAAAATGTAACCAATGAAATTACTTATTTTGACACAGCTTTTTTGACACACATTTTTAGCCAATAAGTATTAAACTAACGAGGTAATGTGTCAAAAGGCGACCTTTTTTGTTATTTTCTCAAATGGAGGACAAATGAGTGTCAGGCTTAAAGGGGAACTTCGGCAGATTTTTACCCTAGTCTTGATCACTAGAGGTCACAGAGTACTGTCGGTTCTAGCAAACTGGAGATCCTGCAGCTAATGGCCAGAGCTCCCAGTTAGTTATAATACACTTCTTGGGGGCATATCCTAAAGATTGTCTTTTGCTCCTCTTAACAGACACAAAATGCAGTTAAAATGTCTGTGCAACATGATCAGGGCCCTTACTTGACAACAACATGCCTTTTCAACTCATACGTTGTGCAGAAACCGTACAAACAGTACTGTCGCCTACCTGTTTTTCCACCGCTCGCTTCACCGAAAGCCCAGAATAATCGATCACAGAGATAATGCCGTCACGACGAAAAAAAAGGCCAGCAAGAGCCTACCCCCACCCACCACCACCAGGTACGATACTGGTAGGGTACTGTCGGCGATGGTTGCTCTGCGAAAATGTCCAACAAATCGGCGTTAGCTGAGAACATCAGCAGAGCCATTCTGGCGGCTATACAAAATTTTTCAACAGCGACAGCAACCGCCTCAGGGTCATAAGCCCTGCACTCTTCATAAAAGTGACACTAAAAACTCAAAGTACTCTTCAAATATAGTTTCTCCAATCGTGTTTATTATTTTAGGTAGTTATTATCACGATAATCCATGTCCAAGAGTCCATTTTCCCGGATGAGATGGTTTTTATTTGTTATTTGACACTATAAACACACACTGACTTCCTCAAGCTTTTATTTTGGTACTTCCAGTTACCAGATTTTTGAATTTGCATATTAGTAATATTTAGTTTCACCCGAAACATTTATATTTAACATTTAACATTTAGGTGTAACATTTAATATTTGGATTCAACTATTTAAAATATCTCTAAGTTGACAAATATTGTTGTAAATGTGCAAAAAAGTGACCCTCAATAATTCATACCAGTTTTTTAAACATTGTTTGAAGCTAAATGTGACAAAATGTTGCTGTTTTTTTCAGTGTGAGCCGCTTTACAAACGTCACCCCATATGTGTGTGTAGTCTATAACCAGTGTTAGAAAAAGTACTGAGATATTTGACTTAAGTAAAAGTAGCAAAACAATAATGTAAAGATTCTCCATTATTTGTTTATTAGTTACATACTCAAAGTAAAAGTTCTGCATTTATAGTAATACAAACTTTCCCTATTTACAGAGTTATATTTTCATAAACGTACATGTAAGCAGCATTTTAAAGTTGAAGCTCGACTGAAATAATTTTAATGGAGTAAAGATAAATACATTTATTTTTAAAATAAGTAAGAGTTGTACTATTGTGGTACTCAAAACATTTTCCCAAGGTTGGCAGGTCTGCAACTGTTAAATACTGAAATAAAGTCGTAGAGGATCAGACTGATAGGCAATGAACGTTTTATGTACAAATATTTAAAAGCTAAAGCAGACTCTAATGCTTTATGTTACATCTGAGGCTAAAGCAAAAAAATCTAATATTTCTTTCAGCGAGCCTGGATCGGGCTGTACAATGACGTGGACAGCTGGAGGTGGTCACTGTCAGACAGAAGTTTCTACGGACTCGGGGAGACTGAGTTCAGAAAGTGGTATCCTGGACGACCAGGCAATGTGTATGATCGACCATGCACAATAATTAATACGGATGGACTGTGGTACGACTACAATTGTAAAAAACAGTACAAGTCTGTCTGCATGGATGTCAGAGGTGAGAATGTTAACCAGTGAAGTTAAAAACATATTAGTTCAGTTTCTTGAACTTTTCTCTGCTTCTCTTCGCCTCTTTGCTTTCATTATATGTGACTATAAAGTGTCAGTCAGTCAATCAAACAAACTTTATTTGTATGGCACCTTTCATACGGTGCAAAGTGTTTTACTGATGACTTATATGGCGATAATAATACAGCACAGGAGGGATAGAAGGACGGAGCAGGGTCATTTATAAAGGTTGCTACGTACAAAAAAGTTGCCTAAACGGTGGTGAAATGTGCGTACACATATTTCAGGAATTATATGCGGTAAAATGTACGTACTTCTCCATGTGAAATATATTTTTAAAAAATGAAGACGATTAAATATATAATATATATACAAATATGAAAAATGAAGACAATATGTACAATATGGCTGAAAACTTCCTGGGTCGTACAGGAATCTGCAACAATTTCACATTCATGCTCAGATTCAGTAAGAAACAAAACAGCTGAATGTGTTCAACAGGTCTGAGAAACATTAACACAACATAAAATATGCATCAATTCAGGGTTGATTTCAAGGATATTTCTATCCTTAACTGCAGGAGGACAACCGTAGATGCAGCATGGATGGAAAATTGTATGTTATGGTACCTCTGCCCAACCCTTCACTGTGGTCTCTTTCCAGGACCCAATGTGACATTTGTCCCCAACAACAATCTCATGACATGGACTGAGGCCCAGAGCTACTGCAGAGAACACCACACAGACCTGGCCACTGTGAGGAACATGGCAGAGAACCAGAAGGTGAGTGAGCTGGTACCTTCAGGACAAGACATCTGGATCGGCCTTTACAGGGACCCCTGGAAGTGGTCAGATGGAAGTACCTCCTCATTCAGGTACTGGAGACCAATGGAGCCTAACGGTCCGAACGAGCTTTGTGTGGCAGCAGACTTTAGCCACTCTGGACGATGGGAGGACTGGAACTGTGACCAGAAGAGAGCATTCATCTGCTACAGACAACGTGAGTGGTAACCCATGTTTCAATTAGTATTTATATTTGGATTTAGGTTTAATTTAACATCCAATGTCCAAAATGAGAATGTCTTTGGACAGAAAATAGATTTTAACACTGATGATGTTGATCATCTTGGCAAACTGGTGTGGAGAGCTGGCAGACAGGTGATCCTGGAGGCAGAGAGAACCAGTGTAGGGAACTCTGGCAGACAGACAGGCAAACCAACTAACAGGCTGGCAGCAAGACTGGCTGAGTAGACTCTTCAGTGAGCTGAAGCGAGGCTCTAACATACTGTAGACTCTTCTCATTCTCTGTTTGGTGCCTCCTCTTCTCTTCTATTCTCCGTCCTCCAGGGGCGTATCCAGAGGGGGGACCTGTGATGGCTCTGACCATACCTGAAATCTGATTGGCCAACCCAAGTGCCACCCTATTATCTTCACCTCTTCGCAGGCTCTGTTTTAAAGCTAATACATCTATTGGTAAAAACATGTCATGCTAGCATGTTGGGAAGGAGGCTAAATCAATTTTTTTTTCCATTATCAAAGGGGTGCCTTGACCTCTGACCTCAAGATATCTGAATGAAAATAGGTTCTATGGGAACCCACAAGTCTTCCCCACATTATATGCAAATCCCATGCAGTGTTTTGCATAAATAGGGAATAACTGGTCAGAGCCCCACTTGTTCCACCCCAGTCAACTGCCACTGCTGTCCTCCTGCATGTGACCTGGAAATCAATCTCAGGGCAACATCTTCAAGTGCATCTCAATTCCTAAAATGCATCTGGAGGAGAGAGGAGGCTTGCCAGAGGAGCTATGAGTGAGGATACACAGGTGTTTCCGTTACAGAAAGCTTTACAATGTGTTTGGCCCCTTGATGTATAATAGAGGTGTGACACACAGCTGTAATATACAGACCTTCAACTTGAAACAGGTAGTTTTTTTGGAAAGGGCTGTGTGCACATGTACATTTATAAAACTTAATAATGACAGCAAACAAAGGAAACAAAGACTGCTACTCCTCAGCACATAGACTCCCTCCTCAACAGTCTGGGAGTGGTCCAAGGCAGGATGAAGCAAGAGGCCTGCATTGAATGTCAATATTATATGAACTTTTTTTTTTTTTTTTTACAGTTACAACAAAACAAGTGATAAAACTGAGTGTGCTGAAAGACTCCTCTCTGGATCTGAATGACCCTGCTGTGGTGGAACAAGTCTCGAAGCAGGTAAATCATGTTTGACCTTTCAAACTGTATGCAAACACAGAACAACCACATTTACAGCAAATTACAATAAAACTTTATTGATCCCCGGAGGGGAAATTCACAAAAACAGCCTGAAGAGGTTGGAAACAGATACAGAGTTATTTAAAATAATAAATACAGCAACATAAGAACATTAAATGATATTCAGAAGCTGTATACATTATATACATTACAATACTTTGGCCATATACGACTTGAGCATTGTGTAGGAAGCTGTGCAGATACATATGTGCTGAAATAAAGAGTCTAGTAGGGCCACTCTGCAGGCCATATAGTTAAGAGTCAACACTCAGCACTCAACTATCTGCCATCAAATGCAGCAGGAAAATGTGCAAATACAATCTAACAATCCGAGAAAAGCCAGAGCATTACAATAGAAGAAATAGGGGGAAGAAAGTTAAAATGTACAACAAGTGAACTGGTTGAAGGAACATATGACTAACAATGCAGAATGTAATATCTCTGTGTGAGTGATAATGTTGAGGAGTTCTGTGTCTCAGATCAAACAGAGGCTGAAGGACCAGGGGGTGAATGAAGACATCAAACTGAGCTGGAGGAAGCAGTCAGATGGAAAGATCTTCCACAAGGACGAGAAGGAGACAGAGAAGAGGAAGAAGAGGGAGCTTTAATTGCTGTGTCTGTTTTCATCAGAGTCCTCATGTAATGGGTCAGAATATATCTGCAACAATCAGTCAGTTAATCAATTCATAATTTTATTTTACAAGCAAAAATAACAAATATTCACTGGTTCCAGTTTCTTAAATGTGAGGATTTGATGCTTTTCTTTATCGTATATGGTCATTAACTTAATATCTTTGGGTTTTAGGCAGTTGATCAATTAAAAAAAGATGTTTGAATTTATCTGCTTGGGCTGTGGGAAACTGTAACAGGCATTTTCATTATTTTCTGACAATAATGATAACATTAATCAATAATGATAACATTAATCAACAATGATGATAACATTAATCAATAATAATGGTGACTAGTTACAGCCCTCAGTCAGAATTATTAGATAGTAGATATTATAATAGATATATGGGTAATGATTATATGCCAGCTTGTGACCTATCAACTTCCTTAAAGATACTATCAGATTAGATTAGATAAAATCAGACACTGTATGTTAGATAAGATTAGATTAGATATAATATGATAAGATTAGATTAAATTAGATAACATATAAGATTAGATAAGGCACATGTGAGTGGGACATCATGAAAATGTGTGAAATAAATGTGTCCTTGGAGAAAATGCCATTATGAAATGAAAATAATACTCAATAAAGTTATGTTATTGTGAAAATGAATGGTTAAAGTAACATTTCATAATGAGTTATGTGTCTTAACGTATTTAATTGGCTTAATTGTTTGAGCTTCACAGAATTTTTCATACCCCTCTCCTGTCCAGTGAAAACTGCTCCAGGAGTGTTTTGAACGTTTGGGATAAACTGAAGGATGTCATAATAACACTCTGACCGGGTATAAGGTGAATGGCCTTGTTTTATTGCATTTTAAAAGCCTTTAAATTGAATTAAATTGTAGATAGAGGGAGAGGTTAACAATGGAAATACTACAGGCTTCTGAATACTACCACTGCTGACAGCTGGAGCCCTCTAGTGGCTGCTCCTGTGTTTGTGCCACAATGTGATAATTTATTTAAGTGAATGATCTCATGTATTTTTTAGGGAGGTGATGTCAGTGTTGGACATCAGGAATGCAGTTTGTTACATTACAATGTTCATTAACATCAGGAATGCAGAGTGTTAACATTCCTCATGTTAGTGGATTTCTGCAGCAGTTATTTTACCTCCACTTTATCTGTTCAGTGGAAAATGGAAATGTTTTCTCTCTAGGCTTGTTTACTATGCACATATATACATGGACATATGTTTGTTTCAACATACAATCATCAGTGTCTTAATTGACTTCTGACCAAATTCTATCCAGATCCAATCAACCTACTAGGAGTAGTATGAGCCTGAATTTCTTAAATAAAGCTTCTCCCGTTCTCATGGGTGCTTTCCTGTTGAACAGGATCCAAGGTGGTCTTGGATTCCCCAGGCCAATCCCACATTAACACAGACTCTTTTCAGTGTGGTTGGGGAGAAACTCAAGGTTAGACAAAGAATGGTGCACCAACATAGCCAATGATCTCAGGCAGATCTTAATATCTGTCCTCAACTGTTTCCCAGCTCCACTTCTCATAGTTGCTTCCCAACAGAAGACGGCAAACTACGAGCTTACTAGTAGCAGAAGTAGTATTACAGAAAGATAACAAAAAAGTGACTCTACAGGTAATTACCTAACTCAAAAAAGTGGATTTAGTTTTAATTTACTTTTTAAACTCCTTAATTCCACCGGTCATGGCTCTGTGATGCTGTTTTATTCTGTCCTCCACATGGCTTCACCGACCAGGAGTGTTTCAGTTTCAATTATTTAATTTATTTGTATAGCACCAGAATCATAACAGAAGTTATCTCAATGACACTTCAAATAGAGTAGATCTAGACTGTATCTTTATAAAATGATTTACCCAATAGTTCCCACCATGAGCAATCCCTTGGCGGCAGTGGCAAGGAGGGTTATGCCCGTCTGATTTTGTTGACTTGTTCAGGCTTTTGTTGATTTGGTCATTTTTTTCTTGATTTATGTGCTTCTACCATGGATAGTAGGCTACGTAGTTAAGTCTTTTAGTATTTTGACAATCAGGTGACTGCACAGGGTGTTTTATTTTGGAAAGGTGACACAGCTGTAACCACAGGAATCAGCCAGTTAGGAAGTATTATGTATTTAACTGTGATTGTTGCTAATTTAGTTATGATTTAATTTACAGTAATGTCGTAGTGAAATTCAAAAGGTTTGAAGCCACAAAGTAAAGCTAAACTAAGTAAAATAATATGTCATATTACAACAGAGGCTAAAGAAACCCAAATGAAATGTTGCTTTCAGCGAGCCTGGATAGGGCTGTACGATGACATGGACAGCTGGAAGTGGTCACTGTCAGACGGAGGTTTCTACAAACATGGGAAGTTCAGACACTGGTCGCCACGAGAACCTAACAACCACAAAGGTGCAGAACTCTGCACAGAGATGTATGATAATGGACTATGGAATGACAACAGTTGTGAAGAACCTTTGAAGGCCGTCTGTTTTGATGTCAGAGGTGAGAATATTAACGAGTGAAGTTTAGTGCTTGAGCTCTCTGCCTTTCTGCTTCTCTTTGCTGTCTTTGGTTACATGAGGGTCATTTAAAGCAGACTGAGCCCTGCCTTCATTTCACTGTAAGAAGCAATGTCTGTTGACCCATACATAGGTACAAATCAAAAACATTGTATTGATACTGTATCGATTCTAAAAAAACACTATCGATTCTTGTGATTGAACCCCTAACCACTAGAGAGCAGCGTTGTGAACGTAAGCGTTTGCTCAGATTTTATGCACATTGTGGTTATTCCTAAAAATAGATTAAAATAAATTTTATTGTAATATGACTTTTCAATTGCTGTTTAAAATACAGAATAAAGGAGTCACTGTCTCAAAATGGCTATAAGAAGAGGACGCAAAAAAGCTCTGATGTGCCTTTGAGGATGAATGTGGGACAGGACACCAGCATGTTCATATCCTTGACGATTTTCACCTTCACGCTGACATTTATTTACCCTGGACTGAGATCACAAAATCATGTGAGAATCCATCTTGCCAGACTCAAACTAAAATAAAGAATAAAGACTCTTAATAAAGGCATAGCAAATATATATATCTATATCTATATATAGATATATATACATAAAAAAAAAAAAAAAGTAAGCATGAAAATATCGTATACTTCAGGCACTCGAGGGTTGGGGTGTGCCCCCAGCTCCCCCTCTTCCCACGGTTATGGTGAGAATTGAATGTTTTCTCCAACAATGGCTGTTAAGCAGGTTAGCGTAGATGCTGCTAGCACCACTTCAGTCAGACAACTCACGTTTGAAATGTTTATTACTGTTATAAGCCGTATTAGCACGGGACTAGTATTACCTGGGGACCTCTAGTAATTTGTAACAATTGCGGAAGTCGTCTGTGATCTTAATCTGCCATGTCCGTAATTTGTAAAGTAAAAATTCCACCGCAGATGACCTACCATATAGGTCATGTGATAATATTAGTCCCATGCGAATCGGCATCTCTGTGATTTTGAGTCGTTTTCTGTTTTTTTTAAGGTTCTTTGTGTTTTCCGCACCTTTATTCTGCCTTTTTCCCGGTCGAGAATTATGGAGGCTGCGTTGGCAATTATAAATGAACGTTTTAACAGCATTTTGGGTGCAAATTTAGGAGGCTCATCTAGGTACACAACATGGAGACCTATTCACAGAAAGAGCAAGCTCAAATCCATCAGAAGAGCGAAATCTCGAAAGATGATTAGATGGATTACATGCATGGCAGCATGGGGTAAGGAACATTTTTCTATCTTTCAACAGGCTCACCAGTTATTATTATATTAAAAATATATTAATATATATAATGATATATTAAAAATATCCATATCTAAAACTTCCGTTTTGTTTTTTCTTTTGTCTTTATGGTCATATAGTTATTTATACATTCATGTGGCATCACTGCAGCATACATTATTCTGGTAGCCCAGGTTGTCCTTAAAAAAGAATTTGCATTACAGGGTTGAGGTTCTACAAGCATTATTACACACAGAGACCAGGCAAACCAATAATAGGAAAAAAGGGCTTAGTTAATATTAACAATATGTTTTGCATAACCTCTCATCACCCATGCTATTATCAAGCTATTAATTAGCTATTACCTTACCTTCCTGATGGCAAATGCAAGCAATATTGACAGCCGTCTGTTTTCTAGTACTAGTAGTTGTGGTCGGTGACATTGTGTGTCAGTCAGGGCTGGGTTTAGTTAACTTTCAAATCAATATATAATCCCTTAAGATTTCTTAATAGGTTGGACATGATACTGTTCTTCTGCCAAAATTTTTTCAGTACTTCAATTTGTAATAAAATGTAGGCCTACCCTTGAATTAAAGTAATTGAATGTGAATTTTTCCCATCCCTGTAGCCACCTTCAAAGCACCAATTTGCATGTACCCTGTGCCTTAGAAATGTGCAGAAAATGTCAATACTGCAAACTCACAATGTGTTTGTACTGACTGCCTTCCCTCTCTTGTATAGTAAATGCATGGTATATTGAGAGAACTCCATGGGAGCGTGGGCATTCCTTCTGGGAAACAGAGGTGCTCCAGAAATTCCTGGAGAAAGATTGGTACGTCAACTTTAGAATGCCCAAAGAGGCCTTCAATATCCTTTGTGACCAGCTGCGCCCATACTTCAACCCCCAAACTACAAACATGTTGGATCCAGTACCTTTAGAGAAGAGGGTTGCGATTACCATCTATAAAGGCACATTTCTGAACTTTGCAATTGACATTCCGTTTAAACTTTGTTATAAAATAACGGTTGTTTCCTTTTCCTCTTTACATAAAATTAAATACTCTGTTATAAAACATAAAAATTGTGCAAAATAATGCTTTCCTGTAGGGATGCACCAATACCAGAGTATCAGAGAATTTCACAACTTATGACTCTTGAATTTAAACAGTCAACGGAATATTTAAAAAGGCATAACAAGAACAAATAAGGCTTTCCTGCAAAGTGGAAAGGCAGAAATAAAAAAGCTAGTTGGGTGGGTCATTATAGTAGTGCACCGGATATGCTGCTGGGGCAGGGGGTCCGGGGGCTGTGGATGATAGATCGATGCTCTCACTTGACGGGCCTTGGTGAGGTGGTTGACTGGACTGACAACACCCATGTTCTCTACAAGAAAGGCCAGATTCACCTCCACCTGAGGAGACTGAGGTCCTAAGCAGGGCTCTCCTTAAGACTTTTTATGACTCTGTGGTTGCTTCAGCCATCTTCTATACTGTGGTCTGCTGGAGAGGGGGCAGTACGGACAGGGACAGGAAGAGACTCAATAAACTGATCAGGAGAGTGAGCTCTGTCCTGGACGGTCCTCTGGACTCCATAGAGGAAGTGGGTGAAAGGAGGATGTTAGTGAAGCTGACATCCATCATGGACAACACCTCTCACCCCCTACATGACCCTGTGGTGTCCCTGAGTAGCTCCTTCAGCAGCAGACTGTTACACCCACATTGTAAGAAGGAGAGGTTCCGAAGGTCTTTCGTCCCTGCCGCTGTCAGACTCTACAACACCTGATCAATGTTGTAGTTTCAGTTTTTTTCAAATTATCACCATACCATAGTATTTATTTCAAGTAATTGCTGCTGTGACAAGGGAATGCCTC